TCACCCCGAAGTCGAAGTACACTCCCCGGCACGCAGGCGATGTGGGGACAGGCTTCCAGGTAACATGTGGCTCTGAGGCCAGAGAAGTGGCAGGTGCTGGGTGACATTGGTTAACAAAGCTGCACAGGTTCCAGCGTGCGATTCTCTACACATCTGGGTGCTCACCACGCCCGCCCGGCCTGGCCTCCTCTGTCTCCCTTTGTGCCCTGTGCCCACCCCTCCTGTCTGTTTACTTACCTCTCCTCTCCTACAGAGAGGGCTTCTTTCATCCTTTAAACCCTGGATTTTTTTTTTTTTTTAAATATGTTTTTGATTTGAGAGAAAGGGGGAGGGAGAAACATCAATGATGAGAGAACCATGGATCGGCTGCCTCCTGCATGCACCACACTGGGGATCATCGAGCCTGAAACCAGGCATGTGCCCTGACCAGGAGGTGAACCCTGACCTCCTGGTTCACAGGTTGATGCTCAACCCCTGAGCCATACCAGCCGGGCTCCCCTGGGAATTGAAGGGCCAATTTTCCCGAGCGTGGCCTGGAGACGGGGGTGATGGCAGTGGAGCAGGGCTTTGGAACTGGTACATCATGGGCACAGGAACTAGGAGCCCCTTTGGATAAGACGACTAAACCAAGAGCCAGCCCCTGGGCTTTCTGTTTGTAAACGCGGAAACACCAAGGTAAGACAACTACGGGCCCGCAGGGCGCGCCAGGCAGGCCGCGGGGAGCCGCGGAGCCAGCACGCCCGGGCGGAGTCCGCTCCAGGTGATGTTTCCTGCCGTGCAGTCCAGCCTCCACCAGCGGTTCCATATGGTCCCATCAGCTCATAACTTTCCGATCACGGGATTAAATACTAATAAAAGCTGGTGTTTTTCAAACAAACGGACTTTGGACCATCCAGTTAAAACAACTGAGGAACCCTCCTGGGGAGGGTTAGCCTGGTGTCGCGAGGATTCCGCAAACAGGATAGGTCCAGCCCTAGGTTTGCACCTCCTGAGTGAGCTAACCGTGTTGTATATCCCTAACGTGTCGCACACATGCTGGGACGGTGCCCGCCTGTCCCCCAGGAGACCAGGTCTGTGCAGCACAAACACGCAGCGCTGGGCAGGAGGGTGACACCGAGGCAACAAAGCGACTGTGATAACGACCTGCACACACAGCCGTAACCAGACTCTTCCCACGCCAGCGCTGCCAGACACGGTGACATTCGCCAGCAGCCGCGTCAGAGCCAGCGAGCAGGTGGAATTCGTGTCCATGCTCACTGGGCAGAATGGATCCCTGCCACCACAGGCGTCCTCATGAGCAAGAGGAACAGGCTGCTGCACCTTCTTCTGTGGACTAGCCCTTAAAGCCTGGCGTGCAGCTGACACATACCGTGCGATTCACAATTCAAGGGCCCTGGGACTGAGGCCACCCCGGGCAGTGCAGGTGAGAAGGCAGGTGTCACACACATCTCAGAGGCCCGCGCTGGGTGGGCCAGGGGCTGTCGGAAGCCAACGTAACAGCAGGGGAGGACCGTGGAGAGGACTTCCTGGCAGCGGGGGAAGGGTGACGAGGGGTCCCTGTGCATCAGGCCCGGATGGGGAGGTGCCTGGGAAATGCAGAGGTGGGGAAGCCTGCAGTGCAGGCGGAAGCGAACCACCGATCCGTAACTGGGCCCCGACCCCCGACTCCCGGCCCCCGGGCTGTCCTTTGGCGCACTACACGGCCAGTTGAGGCCCCATCGCTGGCTTTATGTTTGACTGGAGCCACCCTCAGTAATAAACGGACCAGGAAGTGAGTGCCGCCTGGGGGGTCGGCAACATGCAGACGCCGTGCTGCCAAGAGCTCCAAGCAGGACGCGCCAGGGGCCAGAGACAGACGCAGGAGGGCCGGCCCTGGTTGGTTCTGACCCGAGTCCTTTACTGGAGGAGGAGATGAACCAGAGGCCTTACAGACTGATGTGCTCTGCCCACGGCCTGGCAATAGGTGGTGGAGACCTGGGAGGTGGTAGGAGCTGGGAGGAGGGGGGGAGGGGAGATGTCTATCATACTACCAACAACAGAGAGGGAGGAGATACAGAGACCACAGTCACCCTATCACAGCGAGGCACGCATGCGGTACTCGGCACCGACTCAACGGACTTCATTCCACGTCACAGCGTCACGTGCAAGTGAGACCGACAGGCCGGCACCTGAGCTCACAGCGACAGCGTTGGTGTCCAGAGCCCGCTGGCGGCCAGTGGACAGGATCTGCGCTGATCGCGATGAGAGGCAGGTGGGACGGGTGGGGCGGAGTCCCAGCGCAGCACCGGGAGCTGGGGTTCCTGGGGGCGGGTTCACATGGGGTCTTTAGGGCGGGGCAGCTCCACTTGGGGCGCACGCCTTGCTCCATCCATCCTGGAGGCTTTACAATCTGGGAAATTGAGGCTCAGAGCCCTGCCACCCCTCCCCCCATAGGGGAGCATTGGGAAGGGAAGGGCCGGGAAGGGGCCGCGCTGGGAGACGGTGCTGTCAGTGACGTGGCCCAGACGCGCCGCAGCCTTGAGCTCCCCAAACAGAGCTTCATGCACGTGACCTCTGGCCTATAACCTGAATGACCACCCCCTCAGCCCAGCACCCCAAGTCTAACAGCCCCTGCCAAGGCCGACCTGCACCTGGACCTTCTCGGGGTGAGTCTGGATGTCTGGCAGGCACTCTGTGTTGTCCATTCCAGATGGGCAAGTTTTCTACACGTTTCGCTCGTAGTTTTTGAAGGGCTCATCAGATCAGACCACCTTATTGAGGAGACTCTTCAGCCACGTGTTACTGCGAGGAGCGAGTAACATGCCCTCAGGATGGCTGCGCCGAGGGAGACCTCGGGAAGGAAACAGGACAGGAGTCCCTGCTGCGGACTCCCAGGATTGGACAGGAACCAGCCACCGCCGGCTCAAGCTTTGGCATGCTCAGGGAGACCTCAGTGGGGAAGGTGGTCGTGCAATGGAGTGCATATAACCTACCTAATGCGCTGCTTCAATGGAGTATTTCCATGTCTTTTCCTTAAACTTGCTTGATCCTTTACCAAATACATAGTTTATGCATTCAGGGTGCAGGGTCAGCAGGAAGCCTGTTTCAGGCAACAGAAGACCGGGGAGGGGGGGGGGGGGGAGGTGGACGAGACACTCTTTTGGGGCGCAGAATGTTCAACAGCACAGACGTGAGAGACAGTGAAGGTTTATTTATTCTTTTACTTTCACCCAAACACGCCCATCTCTGGAGAACATAAAAGCAGGCACAGGGGACTGAGGCAAATCAGCACAGGAACCAAAGCGAGTGACATCACGTGCGGAGGGTGTAGGAAATAATTCAGGTCATTTCCGCACACGTTAAAAAGAAACTGCTAACTTCCAAACATTTTGGTACAAATTTTTAACAAATGTTTTACAGGCCTTTGTGAGAAGAATGTAAGTCACAAACATGGTGTTTACGTGAGCTCAAGCAGCTCACTTGGCCTTCTTAAAACCCATCCCAATCAATGCAATTCTTCAAGTGTAAGTCGCTTCCCAGACTTAGATTCAGAGCTTAGCCATCACCTTCAAACAGCTACCCAGCCTGCAGCAGCCCGCCTGTCAGCAGGTCTGACGTTAACACTTTAAAAAACATGCACCCAACGCAGCCCGGCTCCAGTTCACCGGTCAGAGAAAGTGGCAATTTGGTCTGAGGACCCTTTCAAAGGTCTCACAGACACCCGTCACACCCAGGCAGTGCTCCGTGTTCACCTGCTATACAGGTGAGGCCCACAGCCCGCTCTTCCCATCCTGGAGAGTCAGGCAGGACTCCCCGCCATCACTGTGGTCCCTCCCGATGGGCTGGTGGGCTCAGCGGCAGCATCGGGCAAACCTACTAGCAGGAGCAGGACGGCCGCCTTAGGGACCAGCAGGCATCACGTTCAATGGCAACACAGGAACAGAGCAGGTCGCACATCAAAAGTCCTTCACACGGACCCTGTGAGACCAGGTCCCTGACACGCAGCTCGTGGTGAGGAACAGCGGACTGCGCCCCGTCGCACTCCGGAGGCTGATGTGCCCATACAGGCCTCACTGGCTCGAGGCCCGGCGTCCTGACGGGACCTCGCAGGCCTTTGCCGTACAGCGATGCCCTGGCAGGGCTGGAGGAGGGGACGCTCCCACACACACTCCCTGGCACCCCCATGTGAGCTAGAGCACCTGACTGGCCACACAGAGGACTGCCACGGGATGACAAGGCATTTTGGGGGCCAATACTCTAAACCCAGAGTGAGGAGAAGGCACAGGCAGGTAAGCCAGCAGCGGGGAACTCCAGCACAAGCTGGGGTGCGGGCCCCACAAAAAGTAAAGGGCCTTAAGGCTTCAGGTGCGTATGGCACAGGTGCTGTCAGTTCTGAGAGCCCGGCTGGAGTCTGCAGAGCTGGGCAGTGCAAGTCCTACACCACGTGACCGCCTGGCTCGCACACTGCCACTATTCTGCACGGTGGGAGGCGTGCGATTAGGCTGCTCCACAAGCATCAGAAAGGCGTTACTTTGCAACTATAAAGTGAAACCAGCGCAGGAAGCAGTGCTCACAAGGGTGCGGCTGGCCGTCCAGCTCTGCCTCGGCCTTCCACCCGAGTCTCTCGCTGACTTGGAGAAAGTGCGCAGTAAGAGCAATGCCATGGAGCTGCAAGGTTCTCAATACTTTATGACCCGAGTGTGGACCAGTAAAGTTGTAAAAACTGGAAATAACACTGTCAGCGACACGTATTGCGAATGCTCTCTCCTGCAGCCACTGAGGGACACGGTGATGAGCCCTCGGGGCCGCTCGGAGCTGGCCTGGCTCCGGACAGCGCCCAGGGCAGCAGCCAGCCCGAGTCCCCAGAGTCCGGCTCCAACACCAGAGCCCCTGCGTCTGCCGATCACCTGCACCCAGCTCCCGGGAGAGATTCTATTGTGCCCAACACTCCGTCAACAAGCTTTATTTACACTCGGACCTCACTCACGAACTGCCACGACCACGCAGCACCCGGATGGAGCCTACGCTTTGATACTGACCCACAAGCAGCCGAGCAGGGTGCCGTAGAGCCACGTCTTCACGTACAGCTTCCTCCCGGCCTGGGTGGCCAGCATGCCCGCGGTCAGGCCGCTCATGACCAGCAGCGACGGCAGTGTCTTCCTGAGGCTAAGTTTAGAACTGACACTTTCCCCAGGAAACCTGTTCCTTCTGTCCGGATCCGGCGAGTCATAGAATTCGATCAGCAACCTGTGGCCAGGTGGAGAGTTTTACATTCAGTACCAGCCATTTCAATCTTTCAGTCCACAGTCCCTCTCGGGTCTGGGTATGGCTGGAGTCACAGGTGTTCGCAGAGATGAAGGGGCATCAGCGACGGGGTTTACCCGCAGCCCCTCGACTCTGAAAAGAGCCAGCATGCTCGGCGAGCAGCGTGGATTCCGTGCCAGGGCCTCCCGCCATGGTGGGGTGATTCTGTTTTAGAACCTGAGCCCTTTAGAGTTGCCAGGCCCTGGCTCAGGCCTGGGGCGATACGCCCTCAGTTTTCTCCATCTCCCCAACTTCCCTCCTCCTCCAACACCCTCCCCGCAAAAGCCACAATCTCTCATTCCATGGCACTGTAAAAGCGGCTGACAGGGAAAATCTTTAATTCGTTCCCCATCTTATTTTAGAAATGCAAAGTGTTAATAGCAGGCCATAGTCAACATAAAAAATTCCCAACACGCCGAAACCGGTTTGGCTCAGTGGTAGAGCGTCGGTCTGCGGACTGAAAGGTCCCAGGTTTGATTCCGGCCAAGGGCATGTACATTGGTTGCAGGTACATCCCCGGTAGGGGGTGTGCAAGAGGCAGCTGGTCGATGTTTCTCTCTCATCGACGTTTCTAGCTCTCTATCTCTCTCCCTTCCTCTCTGTAAAAAATCAATAAAATATATAAAAAAAAAAAAAAAATCCCCAACACAATAGTACAAAAAGGGGAAGTCCACCCTGGCTGGTGTGGCTCCGTGGATAAAGCATAAGCCTATGGACTGAAGGGTCCCAGGTTTGATTCCCAGTCAGAGCACATGCCCCAGCTACAGGCTCGATCCCCAACAGGGAGTGTGCATAAAGCAGTCGATCAATAATTCTCTCTCATCATTGATTTTTTTTTCTCTCTCCCCCCAACCTCTCTGAAATCAATAATATATATATCTCACAGGCCCATTACATGACATTCATGCACTTGGGGGGGAGGGGGAAAGACACAGCTCTCAGCCCTGCCTGCAGCCTCTCGCAGTGGAGTGGGCCTAAGCCAGCAAGCGCACATCCCCCAAGGGGTTTTAGTGCTGCCACCCCAACCCCTGTGCTCGCCAGCGGTGAGCCTGGCTTCTGGCTGAGAGACACTCCCCCTGTGGAAGCTCACTGACCACCAGGAGGCAGCTCCTGCGTTGAGTTTCTGCCCCTGGTGGTCAGTGCAAATCACAGCAACCACTCATTCTGCCATTGATTGATTTGCATATTAGCCTTTTATTTGTAGGATATATATATATATATATATATATTTTTTTTTTTTTTTTTTTTTTTTCTCTCCTTCAAAAGCAGAGCTCTGTGGCTCCCCTTTAGGAACACGTGGCATCCCACACCAATGTCCTCTCCCGCGCCTGGTGGTCAGACCGTTCTTGAGGAGGTGGCACTCCAGTCCGAACTCTCTATGCCAGGCCTCACCCAGAGGTGCCCTCACACACCTGTACCTTCCAGGTAACTCGCCACACTCCACGCCCTTGTCTGCCCCATGAATTCGCAGGGACAAACAAAAGGTCAGCCCTGAAACTGTCAGGAAATGGCCCTGCCCCTCCTTTCCTCGCCTGGAGGATTGCGGACATCACTCCAGAGGCTCAGACAGCCTCTCCCTGGCATGGGCGGCAGACCTGGGAGGCTCATGGTGTGCCTTTCCTGTGACACGAACACCTGGCCATGGGTAGTTTGGAAACACGGCAGAGGAAAACGGAGGGCCTTTTCACAGGGACTCCTTGTCCAGGGGACCACAGTCGCGCTCACCTGGGCTGACACAGGAGGCGCTCAGGGGACACACCACGTCAGGTCCAGCTGTCTAGGGAGCTGACATCCGGTTTAAAGAAATATGCCTCTGATTTATCTTCACAGAAAAGAAACAGCATGTGGCCAGGCAGCTGTCGCATTTCCCCAGAACAAACAGGCTGTGGGGGTGGGCAGAGCCGAGTGGCTGATAGCCATGTCCTAGGAAGATCCTCCCCAAGGGAAGTGGAGGCGACTAGAAGGCCCAGCCCATTTCTTTAAATAACCAATGGGAGGCGGCAGGACCTGGGCAACCTATAGGAAGTAGGTGACCAAATAGCACTCAGCCAATGAGGAGCCGGGGGAGGGACTACATACAGACCCGCCCCAGGTGCTATCCTGCACAATGGCTGCTCCTAGCTGGTTAGGTCTCCTTTCTCCATCTTGTTTCCGGGCCGTCCCCACCCCCCTCCCCTGGGAGGTGAGCCGGGCTCACAGGGAGGAAGGCCCACTGAAGGCTGAGCCTGCTGCTCACCTGTCCTTGATCTCGAATCGTTCGTGAAGCCACGTCCTCATGAGTGAGCGCTCCTCTGGGACGTCCTTCTTATCTATGCGAGCAACGTGAATGTGGATTTTTGGACAATCTTTGCAGAGAAATTCTAACAAAAACAAAAATATTTAATTTTTTTACTCTAGAATTCATGGTTATACGAAATAATGAAAATAAAGCAAAAAAAGTTTTAAAATAGAGTGCAGATTCCTTCACAAAAGGCTAAAGGCCCTCAGTGGAGGCTGGGGTTCCAGCTGAAGGGGGTCACAACTTCATCCCCCGGTACTACGGCTCTAACACCCGCAGCCAACCCCGGGACCTCCTGGGACCCTGGGACCTCGTGGGACAGCGGGCCCTGTCGCCAGTCCAGGAGCCGGAAGGAGCTGGACCTGCTGCAGGTGCGCCGGCCCCTCTGAGGGGCCCCTGATGCCGGCACCATCACACCCACAGGTCACCTTCCTGAGGCCGTCCCTGCTCCCCAGCACATCACGTGCCGCCATGGTCACTGCTCCCCCCAGACTGGGAGCCCACACGGGGAGGGCGAGGAGAGGGGTGCGTGTGAGCACTGGGCCCATCGGGCACTTCTTCCCGGATCCCTGGTCCCTGCCCCCACCCGAGCCTCCCTCTGTTACGGAGGCCCTGTTCCAGCCCCAGGACTTCTCTGGCTTCTGCTTGGCTGCCTGCTCTCCTAGCCCTGCCTGGCACCCAGCTCCTGGGAACATGTGTAAGAAGTCCTCAAGAAGAGGCAATCCTTCCGGGAGACTTCAGGGACGACTAAGCTCCCTGGGGGGAAGCAAGTGGGAGCTGAGACCTTTAATTTCCAGCTGATATGAAGTCCCATTGTTCTGATCAGTACGCTCTCACCCCACAGCCCACAGAGCCCCCATGGCCCACAGCCCACAGCCCCCAGCCCGCACAGCCCACAGCCCCCATGGCCCCCACAGCCCCACAAACCCCGTAACCTCAGTACAGAGGTACAGCCTCTCCCCTCTTGGACCCACACCTCTTCCTTGCCACGTTAGTGTCTTATTTCTTATAGACTTCAGGAGCGAACTGGCTTTGATGGCAAACATGCAAAAGTACTACAACAGGGAAGATTGATTTTTCAGTATTTTGGTTCTACTCTTCCTCACTTGTGCCCATGTGGACGCATGAGCCCAGCCCCATGTGCAGAGTGTAAGCTATCACAGTGTCGCCTCCTCACCTCGCCCTCTGGTTTCCACTCTCGCTCACAAACAGGCAGACCAACTGCCCCGTCCCCGAACCTGACGTCTGAGCGCTGGGGCGGCTGCGGGTGCACTGCCCTGGTGGGACACTGTCTCTAGTAAGACTGGGCGGGGAGGAGGGGGCGGGAGGGGGGAGGCGCCGACAGGGCACGCTGTCGTCACTCCACCTGCTCCTCATAAGCCAGCGTGGGCATGTCTGCACCCCGGAGGGAGGATCCGCGGGGCCGAGGCCCGAGGCACCCGCCAGGCCTGTGGTTAGGCCCGTACGCAGGAACCAAGCAGCGGGTGAGTGACAGGCAGTGACGCTGGCCTGTGACTGGGATGGCAGCTTACTCGATGGGGGAAAGAGGGTCTCCTCTCACCCGAACCTGCCTTTTTCTCACTGTGCATGTGGTTCCACTTTCCCTGGCACCCTCAGCCTGTGCCCACTCTTCCTGGGCACGGCACCCTCCTGCCAGCCTGCAGGCCATGCCACACACCACGGCAGCAGGCCTTCCTTCTGAGCTGAGCCGCAGGCACGAGTCCCACCTGTGTCCGCCCTGCCTTCCAGTCTCAGGCTGATCTAGTTCCCACAGAAAGCCACCGTAACCGACAGAAAGGATGGGTTTTCTCCACGGCTGCGGTGCGAGTCACCTGCTCACACACAGGGACAGTCTGTAACGAAGCAGGCATAGCCAGCTGCCCCGCAGGAGTAGCAGTGGTGGGAGGGGCGGCTGGGCTTCAGACTTCCTCCGGGCACTGTCACCTGCTGGAACAGAGCCAGCCTGTGCCTGGAGGAGCCGAGAGTAGCTCCAGGTAAGACTGGCCAGGAGACGGCTCACCGACACCCGGCCTGGCCTTCCACTCACTACACCTGGCCTGGCCTTCCACTCACTACACCTGGCCTGGCCTTCCGCTCACTACACCCGGCCTGGATTTCCGCTCACTACACCTGGCCTGGCCTTCCGCTCATTACACCCGGCCTGGCCTTCGCTCCCTACACCCTGCCTGGCCTTCCGTCACCAACACTCAGCCTGGCCTTCCGCTCACTACACCTGGGGCAGCACTGCATGGAGAAGGGAGAGCCCACCACAGATTGGACGATGGGTACTTGCACAGCAGGTGGAAGAGGTGGGTATTCATCCTGTGGACACTGGCCCAGGCCCTGAGTTCTCACCCCCAGGGACACAGGCTCCTGTGGGGACCACTAAAAGCTGCATTTTACAAAGGTTATTGTGATTGTAGGGATTTTACTTGGTTTCCATAAAAATAAAAACAGGTTTAATCCTATTTTAAACACTGTCTGATAAACTAATGAAAACAAAGTTGAACTTAATGCATGTATGTTTTCAAATGTAGAAAGAAACACGTCAACAGCTCCTTGAGTCGTTAAAAAGGCCTCTGGGGATGGTGTGGGAACCAGTGGACATGGGGTTGGTGGACAGAAAGCTGGTCCATTGTACACTCCGTACAGCTTTCATGTTAAACTGCGTGATGCATGGTGTTCCAAGTCCCACTGAAAATGAAGACCCTCTGCCTCCGGCAGGCGTAGGTGAGAGCCCTCACTCTGACTCTGGGGTGACAGTCAGGTTTCCTGACCCACCACCTCTCCACACGCACACCCCGCCCTGGGCCTCCCTGCTCCTCTCTGTGCCGTTTGCATGTGCAGTGAGCGTGGGCTTTCTTCTCATTTACTAGCGATCCCAAGAAGAGGCGCTGTGACGAGCTTGTGGGTGCCACACCAACGGTGGCCAACTCGAGGGGCCAGTCCACCCCAGCTCAGTTCCTCTCACAGCGCAGTGGACACTGAGAGGGGCCCCAGGCAGCACACTCCTCGCCTTCTCCATGCAAACCTCCTCAAAGCAGGAGGGTCTGTTGTTTAACTGAAGATCAGCTCACAGAGCGCGCTGTTTTCTCCTGTCACACCTGACAGTCACGGCTCAGCGTCCTGAAAACTTGGTGTGTTTGGGAAAAGGCCACACTATTTCATAAACACTGCATGCAAATGCATGCAGATGAGCGGGCCCCTCCCCCTGTGGGGACTTTGGGGGAAAGAGGCTGAGTTCACGACAATGGGCTTGTCTACAGGACTCCTGGCATTTACACATTACAGACGAACGCAGAATCTGGAGAATACAGGACACAGACTGGCTAGAGACTCACCGAACATGGATGGCGCCTCTTTCCGCTGCCCCTTGTCGTCCACAGTCCCTTCGAAGGCCACGGTGACGTCGTAGATGGCATCCAAGTAGTTCTTCATGGAATCAAAGGCAATGTGTGTGGCCTTCACTCGCGGCGTGAGCACATGCTTCAACACGGGCAGGCCTGGAAAAGAGCAGGCTCAGAGTGGCTGCGACTCAGGCTCACACCTCGCGCACACCTGCACCATGGAAGGTTGAGAGACAGACGAGGCCACGCCCTCACACACGCTGGACTTGAGGACTGGAACGTGCCTACACGTGACGATATTGAAGTCACAGCCAGCACCTGTGTGAGTGAGACGCATGGCCTGGGAGCTCAGGGCCCGAGGGGGCCTCCACCTGGTGACCTCCTCACTGGGCAGCAGGCTCTCGAGGCTCCAAGCCCAGGATTCCCACCAGCACCTGACTGGCCGTTGTGGGAGGTACCAGCCTGGGACTCCAGTTTTTTGGTACACTTTTCTAGGAAATGGAGATTGAATGCACACACTATAGAACTTACCCTTAAAGCCACAGTTCAGTAGATTTCCATATTCAAAGGGCTGTGCAACCATCTGCACCAGCAAACCCTAGGTCATTTCTTCACCAGATGCCCGAGCCCAGGCAGGCAGTGCCTCCCCCTCCCAGCGGCCACATTCCTGCTTCCGGCCTCGATAGCGCTGCCTGCTAGAGCATGTCACGGATGGAATCATACGGTGTGGACGTCTGTGACTGCGTGCTGTTATACTTGGGCTGCCTGCTGTGGCCCGCTCCTCCACAGCTGAGTGGCATCACGTGGTGTGGACAGCATGTTCCCATCACTGCTGACGCTATAGGCTCTGTGGCTTTCACTCTTTGCTACACATGCATGTCAACCACCAGGTACACGCAAATGCTGCACATATACACATAGGTAAGGTTGTGTATGAACATAGGATTTCAATTCTCTCGGGTATGTTTCATCATTTTTTAAAAGCTTCTTTATAAAAACCTTCTTTACTGCCCTAGCTGGTTTGGCTCAATGGATAGAGTGTCAGCCTGCATAAGGAAGGTTCCTGGGTTTGATTCTGGTCAAGGGCACAGGCCCAAGTTGTGGGCTAGATCCCCAGTAGGGGGCATGCAGAAGACAGCCAATCAATGATTCTCTCTCATCATGGATATTTCTGTCTCTCTCCCTCTCTGAAATCAATAAACATATATTTTTTTAAAAACCTTCTTTACCTGAGAAAACATTTTAATTTAATAATAACCACGTGCTCCTCCTCCGCTCCTCTGTGTGCTGGGCGGCCCCTCCTGTTCTCCTCAGAGCTGGAGCCATCAGTCTCCCACGAGTGCTAAGAGCCCTGCCTCCTCCTCTTCCTAAGGCCGTGCTTCCGCTCTCCTGGGGGCAGCTCTCAGAGGAGGTGACAGGAAAGCAGACCTCTGCTCCCAACCCAGGGAGCCCATCGGGGAGGGCCGCCCAGCCTGGAGGAGAGCAGGAGGGGGAAGGGGAGGGGGAGGAAGAGGCCTGCCCAGCTCTGAGGAGAGCAGGAGGGGCGGCCCAGCACACAGAGGAGCGGAGGAGCAGCTGCCCAGGCGGCCTTGGAAGGAATGCTGGAAATGCAGGGGCTGTGGGAACAGTGGAGGTTCCCACACCACGTGGCCCAGAGCAGAGCTGCTCACTCTCCTCACAAACTTAAAGCTCAAGTCTGACTAGCGGCCCGCCAGGGAGCATTCCTTTGTCGGCCCTTCCTTCCTTGCCGCCGGCTCCCCTCCTCACAGGTGGCTGTGTGCAGCTCAGAGCACACTCCCCGACTGCACCGCCAGGTCCCATAGAACCCCATGTTGCTCAGCGAGAACAAGTGATTAGGAGTCCAACTTAATAGACAGCTAAAGACAAAGTAGTAGTATTTCCAAAGAACGCATGGTAATAAAGGTTTGGAAAAAACAGCTTGGTGTAAATGGTTAAGAAATATCCACCACTGCCCGGCAGGGTGGCTCAGTGGTTGAGCATCGACCTATAAACCAGGAGGTCACGGTTTGATTCCTGGTCACAGCACATGCAGGCTAGATCCCCAGTAGGGGGCATGCAGGGAGCGGCTGATCCATGACTTTCTTTCATCACTGATGTTTCTCTCATTCTCCTTTCCTCTCTGAAATCAATAACAAATATTTAAAAAAAGGAAAATACCTACCACTAATATACATGCACACGACACTAACCCCCAACCTCCACCAAGGCACTATGATCAGCACTAAACACGGCTTTCTGGCCCAAGCCGCCTCCTGCTCCAGCTCTACCTTCAGCTCCAAAGGCAGGGCCAGCAAGGGAGGAGGAGAGAAGGAGACGGGTGACAGCCAGCAGAAAAGCATCTCACAAGGACCGGCCAACACACTCCCCACTGAGAAATGGCCACTGGGCAGGCTCACCTGTTATCTGAACCAGCATCTCCAGTGAGTGCAGCTCGAGTGGGCTGGGGCGTGTCCATGTGTGAGGTGAGGAAACGGACCTTGTCCCTCCTGTGTTTATGAGTCCAGTCACTCTCCAGGGCATCGAGCAACAGGAGAAAACCAGCTGATTGGCTCAAACCTGAGAATTCTAGGTTTCTGCCACCCCAGACACAGCGGTGAGCCCTACGTACATTCTAGCACTAGGGTTCAGGAAGTGGGTGTGGTCACGCCAGCTGCTGTGGGAAACCCTACGTATTATTTTATTTTTATCTAATATTATTTTGCTATCTAGCACCTTATTTTTATATATTTACTAGAGGCCCTGTGCACAAAATTTGTGTGGGGGTTAGGGGGGTGGCGGTGTCCCTCAGCCTAGCCTGCACCCTCTCCAATTTGGGACCCCTCGAGGGACATCCCTCTCACAATCCAAGAGTGCTGGCTCCCAACTACTTGCCTGCCTGCCTTCCTGATTGCCCCTAACTGCTTCTGCCTGCCAGCCTGATCACCCCCTAACAACTCCCATGCCAGCCTGATTGATGTCTAACTGCTCCCCTGCCAGCCCGTTTCCCTCCAACTTACCTCCTCTGCCGCCTAGTCACCCCTAAGTGCCCTCCCCTGCAGGGTTGATTGCCTTCAACTGCCCTCCCTTACAGGCCTGGTCCCTCCCAACTGCTCTCCCTGCTGGCCATCTTGTGGAGGCCATCTTATGTCCACATGGGGGCAGCCATATTGTGTGTTGAAGTGATGGTCAATCTGTACATTACTCTTTCATTAGATAGGATAGAGGCCTGGTGCATGGGTGGGGGCCAGCTGGTTTGCCCTAAAGGGTGTCCCGAATCAGGGTGGGGGTTCCCTTGGGGCATGGGGCAGCCTGAGCAAGGGGCCTGTGGTGGTTTGTAGGCCCCCCAGCGACCCAAGCAGAGACCCTGGTATCTGGGATATATTTACTTTATACAATTGAAACTTTGTAGCCTGGAGTGGAGCCAAGCCTCCTTTCTTGCTCTGTGGCAGCCATTTCTGCTGGGACTTTATTTTCTATAATTGAAAATTTGTAGTCTTGAGTGGAGGCCTGGGCCCTGTCTCATTAAGGGTATGTGGAAAGCTCTGCTTCCTCCATTGCCAGGGAAATACCTCCCTCCTGCTCTCTGTGGCTGTAGCCTTCTTGGCTGGATTTAATTTGCAAACTCGTTCTGATTGGCTGGTGGGTGTGGTTTGTGGGGTGGAGTGATGGTTAATTTGCATATTACTCTTTTATTGGTAGGCTACAACTTAATGTTCTACTAGAGGCCTAGTGCATGAAATCCCTCAACCCCACCTGTACTCTCTCCAATCTGGGACCCATTGGGGGATGGCCGACTGCCTGTTTAGGTCTGATGCCCTCCCCTGTGAGCCTGGTCACCCATGACTGCCCTCCCCTCCTGGCCTGATCACCCATAAGTGCTCTCCCCTACCATAACCTGCCTCCTCTGCTGGGACTGGCCTCCTCCACACTACAGAGAGCCTCAGGAACCCCAGGCCTCACCATGAGGAGCGTGAATGTGGCCATCTTGTGGTGGCCATCTTGTGATGACATTGTGTGAGGGTGTCATGTGAGGCTTTTATTATATAGGATTATATAATACCTCACCTATGATGCTGAACCTATTCTTACCATTGTTTTCCTAATGATAAGTTCCATATTAGCTTTTCTGAAAATAAAATTCTACTTTTGCTAATCTACTAGTATAACAGGGAGCAGCCTTCAATACATATCTTGCTTGCCTGGCATAAACAGTCTCTTGAAGACGCTACCAATATTTCAATCTCTCAAAATCTCATTTTGTTCTGGAGAGACTGTAGTTAAACAAAACCTTGAACAATTTTTTGGGGGGAATTTAAATAGTGTTTTTTAAAAGAATGGCTAACATTTTTTAGTTTCAAGTACTAAGAAGGGACTTTAGAGATCATTAATATAACAATCTTTGAAGTAAACAATGTTAACAATTCAAGACCCTATAACACAAATATGTTAAATAACAGCCCTAATACTGAATCAACATATTTTGTGCCTGACCTTTTTTAAGCAATACTTCCAGGAATTAGCGATAACCAGGCCTTGATACGTTGGGTTAAGACAGACATCAGCCACCCCCCTCCCCCCACCCCCCACACACATGCTCATCCAGCAACACCACTGTTGACAGGGAAGTAAGAGTGGTGCCTGGTATAATGACCTAGATGGGTAAACAAGTGTCAGTTTTTTAAAAAATCTCAATTGTTTTTCTATTTGCTAAGTCAGGATCAAATGAAGGTATTTTAGGAACAAAAATGAAGGTATGTTTAGTAGCAAAACATATCAATGCTAACAAATTACTAGTTTCAACTTTCTTGACAAAAAATTAACAGGTGGAGAAAAAGTCTTTTGTTTTTGTTTTCATGTAATCTCATTAGGAGCGGCAGGAAAACAGGAAACACTATTTCTAGACCTACTGCTCACAAGTCAATCTCCTCGAGTACGGCACGAATGATTACTTCCTAGTCACTAGAGAACAGACTTCGAACAGACCACAGCGGTGCTCCTGGTTTCAGAATTTAAAGGAGGAAAGTGAGCAGTCAAACATTATATCAGTAATACAAATTTTTCTTCCCCTTTGGTAGCTTTGAGGAAGATCTACAACTCAGAAAAATGGAAGTCAACAGCTGGTCAATTACAGGTGACTGGGTTCTTGGTAGACTAAGAGGCTTGGATGCATATGACTATTACACTATTACCGGTTTGGCTCAGTGGATAGAGCGTCGGCTTGCGGACTCTAGGGTCCCGGGTTCGATTCCGGTCAAAGGCATGTACCTTGGTTGCGGGCACATCCCCAGTGGTGGGGGGGTGCAAGAGGCAGCTGATGGATGTTTCTCTCTCATCGATGTTTCTAACTCTAATCCTCTCTCTTCCTCGCTGTAAAAAACCAATAAAATATATTCTTTTAAAAAAAGAAAAAAGAAATAGGTATTAGAGCTCATTACACACAGAGAAACAGCGTAGGCCTCCTAGGCTGAGGTGTGCCCCCCACTCCAGTTGGTTCTGGGCCCTGGCCTTGGGCCTGAGCTGGAGATGGGCCTCTGGGAGGCAATTAAGATTCCAGGAGGTCAGCACTGCAGGGCCTTCACCCAACAGGGCTGTGTGCTCCCCAAGAGAGGAGGCACAAAGGAGCCGTGTGTTCTCCGGAAAGGCCACGTGAGGACACAGTGGGCGGGCAGCTTCCCACACCAAGAGGATGGTTCTAACCAGAAACCGTGGCCACCAAGGCCGAGGGAGCCAATACTGGTCCTGGAACTTGGATTGAAATGATGACTCTGAGTAAATGTAACACAGTGAACAAATCTGTTTGCATGCAAACGTTTGTTTTACCCAAACAGGATACACATACACAATACATGCAGTTAACGCTGAACAACACAGTCAGGGTGCAAACCCCCACCGTCCAAACTTCTGATCGTGTCTGCCTCCAGAAGAGCCCAGCATTCCCTTGGCATTGGGAAGACTGGCTCCAGGGCACCTGAAGATGCCTAGTGCCTTAAGTGAACGAACAGCACGTGCAGACAGCTGCCTCCACAGCTGCTGTCTGCAAACACGAAGCCACTGTGCCTCCCAGAAGCCCGTGACAGACAGATGCTGTAACTCCTGTCTAAGGAGGAAGAAGACTGAGCAACGGAACCAAGGCCTGTCTGGGTTCCAGAACTCCTTTGGGAATGCAGCCCCCGCTCGTGGTCACGCCCATCTCAGACTGTATCCTGGCGTGAGGAAGGTGGAAGAAGGAGAGAGCCTAGCTATGCCAGCTGATGCAGCCAGCCCAGGTGGGCACGAAGTCACTGCCACCTGCCACTGACACAGGGAACAGTCACCCAGGACCTTCCAGCCCACCCACTGCCACTTCCAGCTCACCCCGCGGAGCAGACGGGCCAGCCTCCCTCTGGAGCCTGCCCTGAGGCTGACCTGGGTGCACTTAGCTGCTACTGTTTGCAGTCACTCCATTCTCGGGAGCATTCACATCAGATCACAATGAATTAAATAAAAATGAATAAAATTAAAAATGTATTTCCTCACTGCACCAGCTGTGTTCTGATGTTCCTCAGCGCATGGGAGAACCACCACCTGGTCACGAGCTCCCCGCAGCCCGCTCTCGGGATGGCAGCGCCTGAGCCTGCTCAGAGTCATCAGGAGGCGTTCGCTCAGGACGTCCTCACAGACAGCTCATCCACCAGAGCTGCTGCTTTATGTTTACTCCGATTTGCTTATGTCGAATCGTTGCTGGTACACAAGTTACCCACTTTCTAAAGCATAGATGTCAGGGACATTCTCATTATCGGGGACATAAAGCAGCTTCCAAGTCCGTGACCCAATGTATGTCATGTTCTCCAACAGACACCCCCATACCTTCTAACGTGTTCTTACAGACTGACCTGAGTCTGTCCCATGAGGTGTATATCTATATATATTTTTTAAAATAAATCTTTATTGTTCATATTATTACAAATATTCCTCATTTTTCCCCCCTCCATTGCTCCCCTCCACCATGTTCCCACCCCACCCTCTGCCTTTTCCCCACCCTCCATTGTTCTCATCCATAGGTGCACAGTTTATGTTCAGTCTCTTCCCGCATCCCCTCACTCCCCTTTTCCCCAAGAATCATCAGTTCACTCCCCTTCCATACCTCTGATTCTATTATATTCAACAGTTAATATTGTTCATCAATTCTTTTTAATTCCCTTGGTTTTTAGATTCACTTGTTGATAGTTACGTATTTATTGTTCATAATTTTTATCTTTATTTTCTTTCTCTTCCTAAAGAACCCCCTTCAGCAATTCATATAATTCTGGTTTGGTGGTGGTGAACTCCTTTAGCTTTTTTTTTATTTGTGAAGCTCTTTATCTGGCCTTCGATTCTGAGTGATAGCTTTGCTGGGTAGAGTATTTTTGGCTGTAGGTTCTTGCTATTCATCACCTTGAATATTTCTTGCCATTCCCATCTGGCCTGCATGGTTTCCGTTAAAAAATCAGCTGACAATGGTATGGGTGCTCCTTTATAGATAACTACCTGCTTTTCTCTTACTGCTTTTAATATTGTTTCTTTGTCTTTTGCTTTTGGAATTTTAATTATGATGTGTCTAGGTGTGGTCCTCTTTGGATACTTTTTGTTTGGAGTTCTGTGGGCTTCCTGGACTTGTAAGTCTAATTCTCTCACCAGGTGGGGGAAGTTTTCTGTCACTATTTCGTCCAGTATGTTTTCGGTATCTTGCTCTCTCTCTTCTTCTGGGACCCTCATAATTCTTATGTTGGTTCGCTTGAAGTTGTCCCAAAGGTTTCTTACATTATCTTCAACTTTCTGGATTCTGTCTTCTTGCTTCTGCGGAACAGTGTCCTCTGGCTCTTTGTTTCAAATCTTTGACTTGATTCTTGTGATCTTCCATTCTGTTTTTAGGACTCTGTATAATATTTTTCATTTCAGACAATGTATTCTTTATTTCTAGTTGATCACTTTTTATTTTTAGTGGATCCCTTATCATATCCTCATGGGTCTCATTTATTTTATCTGCCTTTTCTAAGAAATTCTTGAAAAACCTTATAAGCGTGGTTTTGAACTCTATATCCAGTCTCTTTTTGTCCTCTATTTCTTTCGTTTGTGTTTCCTTGTTTCGGCATTTTCACTGCTTTCCTGAGTTGGTAGGGTGGCTTTGTGTGTTAAGGTGACCTATATGGTTCAGTGGGTCAGTCTCCCAGTTACCTGAGGTGGACACTCTTGGTATCCCCTTTTGTGGACTGTGTGTACAGCTTTATTGTAGTTAAGTCTTGATTGTTGTTGGTATCACTGGGAGGAACTGACCTCCAGGCCAATTGGCTGTGAGGATCAGCTGTGTCTATGCCTGGAGACAGCCTTATTCGACTAGATTTGGAAAATTGTAAAAGCCTCTGTGTTTAGCTTGGGTGGGGAGGAATTTCAGGGTGGAGCCTACAGCCTTGGCTTTCGTCAGCCCTGCCCTATGAGGTTCCTGAGTCTCAGTGTTCCTTAGTGTCCTTCGGTACTCGCTGCAAGCACCTCTGAGAGAAAGGTGCCCTCGAGTTTTGCCCGCTACTAAACAGTCTAGGCTCTCCCCCAATGAGCCTGAAACAGGTTCAGTGCAGTTGGAAGTGGGGTTGGTAGTGGTGTTCAGAACAGTCTGAAGCTTTTGTCTCCTTCCCGCTAGGGCAATCTAGCAGCAGAGTCAACAGTCCGTCCTCTGCGCGAAATGTGCATGCCTCCTGGACTGCCTTTCGCCGCTCCCCTGAGGTTCCGCCTTACAGCCCAGGCTCCCTCTTTATGAGCCTGGGTCCCAAGGGTCTGGCCCAGAACTGGGGTTCAGTGCAGTCGGAACTGGGGCTCAGCATAGTCCGGAGTTTTTATCTCCTTCCCTCCAGGGAACACTAGCCAGGCACTTAGCCTCCCCCTCCTCTCCTTGTGCGTACCGTGTCTCCATATCTTAGGCTTTTACAGCTCCTCTGATTTTCCTTCTGGTTTTCTCTTTCCTTCTCGTTGTAGAATTTCCAGTCAGTCAACTTTCCTGTAGTTCTGGATAATGTCCATTTTGTATTTTAGTTGTATTTTTTTGAAATTGTTGTGTAAGGCTGCAGTTAGGTTTTTACCTATGCCGCCATCTCTTTTTTTTCCGAGGTGTATATTTTTTAAGAGATGAGGAAAGAGACTCAGTAACACCAGGAGCCTGCAGCCAGATAAACAGGAAATGCCACCATTTGGATCCCAATCCAGGAGTGGAAACACTTCCGTCACATCCCACAGAACCCAGACTGTGCATCGTGCCCCACACGGATGTCACCTACTCCCCAGCACCCACACAGATGTTATCGACATGGCGCTTGGCCAGTCTCTGAACGCATCTCTCAGATGTGTGATGGGGGCATGTGAATGTGAAGAACCCTCATTTCCTAAAGGTTACACACACATTCACTCAGGGAAAATATACTCATTCATCTCAATTGCTGTAAAACATAAATATCTTCTCTAGGAACAAAGATGTAAAAGGTCGTCTTCTTTAAAATGGTTTTTCAAAAGTAGCAAAGGCTCGCTTACCTTCCTGAGCAGCGAACATCTGACTGTCTGAAATGACCTTTGTTAGCTCGGGGTTGTACCTCGTCCCTTCTGGAAAAATCACAAGGTACATCTGTGGGCAGAAAGGGCAAGGTTTGCTGTTAGCTTATCAAAGCCAACCCACAGAGGCTAAGAGAACATCTCCCATGGCCAGGAACACACATACACTTACACCTGACTTTCCTTCCAAGCAGAGAAACCAAAATGCAAAATTCAAATCATCTTATCTAGCACAGACCACATTCAAAACGCAATCTGCTTGGTGTAAGGCAGTCACCAAGAAGCTACCTTTTCTCATTACCTATTCATAGTTGCTAAATGAAAACTTGGCCACAAAATGCCGACTCGTGCAAAGCCTCCATTAAGTAATCATATCCTATATAATAAAGAAGTAATATGCAAATTGACTGTCACATCCTCATAAAATGGCTGCCTAAGACTAGGCCAGGAGGGGAATTAGTGAGGGATGATCAAATGACTGAACAGCAGGCTGCATGGGGCGATCAGGTCAGCGGGCCGGGGTGGGGTGGGGGAGGAAGAGATGGGGATGATTAGGACAGCAGGGGGGACTGTGAAGGGCGACTAGGCTGGTGGTGGTGGGGGGTGCAGTTTGGGGTGACCTGGTAGGAAAAGGGGGGCAGTTGGAGGTGACCAGGTTGACAGGAGGGCAGTAAGGAGTGACCAGGCCAGTGGAGAGGGGGCAGTTAGGAGTGACCAGGTAGGCAGGCAGGTGAGCGATTAGGAGCCAGGGGCCCAGGATTGTGAGAGGGATGTCCAACTGCTGGATTGGGCCTAAACCGGCAGTCCAACATCCCCTGAGGGGTCCTGGATTGGAAAAGGTGCAGGCTGGGCTGAGGGAACTGTCCCCCTATACGTGAATTTCATGCATCAGGCCTCTAGTAATTAATAAAAAGAGTCCCCCTCCCAATTCTGCAAAATGACTTTTAAAAGGCATAAATTGTAGATATCTGTGTCCCTAAGGACATGTTATTTGAGGAAAATCATAAATACGTAAATTCCCATAATATAAAATGTGTATGTGTTCACGTTTCAAAAAGTACACAGTGTTACTTGCGAGCTCCCTTGCTGCATGCTAGCCTGAGCCCCGTACGTTAGGGCCCTGGGGGGACGGCACCACATCATGTGAGCAGAGTAACCCTTGGTCTGGGCGGTCACTTACCTGCTTGGGAAGTCAGAACAGACACAGTGAAACCTCAGCCTGAGCTACAGAAATGACACCAACATGTTTGGCAGCCAAAGGACAAAATAAGACACCTCCCCCTTTTCAAATGCACCCACACAGAAGGTAGCAACAGATGTCAGCCTCAATGCAAAACTAAACTATGAAACTTCCAAAGAAAACAGGAAAAAGGCTTGTAATCTTGAGTTTGGCAAAGAATTCTAAAATAGGACACAAAAAGCATAAATCTTAAGAGAAAAATCAATGAATTAGAAAAACTAAAAACTTGTTCTTTTTTTAAAATACATACATTTATATTGATCAATTGATTTCAGAGAGGAATGGAGAAGGAGAGGGAGAGAGGGAAAAGGAGAGAGGGAATCATTGATCGGCTGCCTCCTGTACACCCCACACTGGGAATCGAGCCTGCAACCCGGGCATGTGCCCTGACCAGGAATCCAACGGTGACCTCTTGGTTCATAGGTCAACACTCAAGCACTAAGCCACCTGGTCAGGCAAAACTGTTGTTCTTCAAGCCACTGTCAGGAACATGAAAAGGCAGCCCACAGACATGACAGCAGTTAGGTATTTTATTGTCCCAAATTGAGACAAGTGGTGGCACCTCCACCCAAGGACAACCTACTCAGCAGTGAGAACAAAGACACTGATCCACACTTCACATGATTACATGGATGAATCTTGAAAAAGACATGCTAAACGGAAGAAGCCAGACATCCACCCTGCTAAACAGCCCAAGCTGTGTGACTCCCTTTACCTCCCTGCAGTGACAGGAAGCATAGCAGCGACCAACTGCCAGGGAAGAATGGCAGAGCTGCACTCGAGACTCGGAAGTGACTGACACCCCTGACTGCTCAGTCACCTGGGCGTGTGCACACAGCACTCCCACCCGGTCCTACCTGCACCACCTGGGCTGTGCACACAGCATTCCCACCCGGTCCTACCTGCACCACCTGGGCGTGTGCACACAGCACTCCCACCCAGTCCTATCTGCGCCACCTGGGCTGTGCACACAGCACTCCCACCCAGTCCTACCTGTACCACCTGGGCGTGTGCACACAGCACTCCCACCCAGTCCTATCTGCGCCACCTGGGCGTGTGCATACAGCACTCCCACCCAGTCCTACCTGCACACCTGGGCGAGTGCACACAGCACTCCCACCCGGTCCTACCTGCACCACCTGGGCTGTGCACACAGCACTCCCACCCAGTCCTACCTATACCACCTGGGCGTGTGCATACAGCACTCCCACGCAGTCCTACCTGCACACCTGGGCGTGTGCATACAGCACTCCCACCCAGTCCTACCTGCACCATGTGGGCTGTACATACAACACTCCCACCCAGTCCTACCTGTACCACCTGGGCGTGTGCACACAGCACTCCCACCCAGTCCTATCTGCGCCACCTGGGCTGTGCACACAGCACTCCCACCCAGTCCTACCTGCACACCTGGGCGAGTGCACACAGCACTCCCACCCGGTCCTACCTGCACCACCTGGGCGTGTGCACACAGCACTCCCACCCAGTCCTATCTGCGCCACCTGGGCGTGTGCATACAGCACTCCCACCCAGTCCTATCTGCACCACCTGGGCGTGTGCATACAGCACTCCCACGCAGTCCTACCTGCACACCTGGGCGTGTGCATACAGCACTCCCACCCAATCCTACCTGCACCACCTGGGCGTGTGCATACAGCACTCCTACCCAGTCCTACCTGCACCATGTGGGCTGTACATACAACACTCCCACCCAGTCCTAACTGCACCACCTGGGCTGTGCACACAGCACTCCCACCCAGTCCTACCTGCACCACCTGAGCGTGTGCACACAGCACTCCCACCCAGTCCTACCTGCACCACCCGGGCGCACCAGCTGCCATGAATTCTTGACCCCAGCATGCGCTGAGGGCGGACACGGAGAGGAGGGACGGGGCCCAGAGGAGGAGAAGGAGCCTGACCAAGGAGGAGAAGTACTGAGCCACAGGCCCCCCAGCACTGTGTCCTGGGTTCTGGGGGAGCAGGGAGAGGCGCCAGCAGCGTCTTTCTAAGTGAACACTGAGATTATCTGGGGGAAGTGGAAGCGAGAGAGCCACATTTTGCGAAGTAATACTGACACTGAGTGCTTCTCTGTCTGTAGATACTGACATTATTTTTGACTTGTCATTAACTGGATCTGCACAAGAAATCCCACGGCCCTCACACATAGAGCAGCCGCCTGACCCGCTGACGTGGAGGCCCAGGCAGAGGGGGTTGAAATGTAAGGTGACAGGCAGCCGCCGGCTATTTATAGACTAGACACTGTGCCCTCCCTGCCTGCTCTCTCAGGTCACACTGAGCCCAGCCCACGCCATGGCCATCCGTCTGCAGCACCTCCTCACGGCCCCAAGTGCCTGCACTATGGGGAGGGCTTCTGTGGCCTTCACAAGCCCTGTGTTACTCACAATACACGGACAACAGACGTGCAGACAATTCTTAACTGCGCCCCAAGCCGGGGCGGCAGGCACTTACCGGGGTCCCGGCGCTCACGTAGCTCAGCAGCTTCCGGCGCATCTCCGTCTCCTTGAAGCTCGAACTCCTCTTGACGTAGATGCCCCCGTGCTGCCAACAGGCCGGAGAGCGTTACTTCACAACACCCAGCAGCCGACACCGGACAGGCGGGCAGTGAGCTACTGAACACGTTCCAATATTCCCACCCAAGAACATGAGCTGAGCCTTCTCCTATGCAGTAACACAATTCAAATAAAACTGCATATTGCAAAGTACATTATCTTTGTTTTGTTGGCAGTTAAAATAAAAATGCTTTATTTTTTTTTAATGAATTTTTAAGATAAAAAACTCGATCACAAATGCATCTTAGTTCTCAATTTTTCCACTAATTGTGACATCACTACCAAGTGTCCTTAAAATGTCCACGTTTGTGGTCTCTGGAGTGTTAGAAACCAGCCCGCCTAAGACATGTACACAGCACTGCCGCATGTACACAGAACTGTGTCCCAAATTCTTGGTGAAGCCCTGCCCTGCGAGGTGACAATTTGGGATGGGCCTCCAGGGAGAGATGTAGGTCACGAGTCCCCAGGTGGCCCTCCTGCAACAGGACAGGGCCTGCCAAGGAGTGGAGAGAGGACACGGGGGAGATGTTAGCCGCAGGGAGAGGCTGGGAGGGAGGAGAAGCCTGCCAGCACGGCCCGCTGCCCTCTCCCCCGGGCCGTGAGGACACAGGCTGCTGCTGTGTGCTGGCTGCAGGAGCCCGGCCCCCACAGAACCGTGTGGGAACCTTATTCAGCTCCGCATCAGGGCGGCGTTCGCCTCTCCTTTAGTGCTGCTTCCCTCTGTGCTACGTCGGACTCGTCTGCAGTGAGCGAACTGGCTGGATTTGTGCTGTCCTGACCCAGAGTCTGAGTGACAGGAAATGACAAGAGAGCAAGCAGGGGCAGCCTCGGGAGGAAGCAGGAGTCTTCCATCAGGTGGGGCTCCTTCCACGTATGCACCGGCCATCAGAGTGCAGAGGACACTCAAAGGGCCGCTGTTCATTCACCCAGACAGGACTGCTGAGAGCCCGTCCTGTTAGAGGTCAAAGCCACGGCCGGCACTCAGCACAAGGAGAAACTTCCCGAGCCTCCAGCGATGTCCTGTCTGTTCTTCACACAGTGTCCTCCCTGTCCCCGAACTTGCTTACTGAAGTTTATTTTAATTCAAAACATCCCAAGATACTGAAGGGAAGACCAGGCATCTTTCTCTAAGACGCTCACTGAGCAGGGGAAGGGGCGTGTGACATAGAGAGTGTAAGAGAACATGGTGCTTTCAGAAAGAGCCCCAAGGAAAGGCAGGACAGAGAGAGGAAGCGGCAGCGGAGGGTGTCCCGGTGACGCCCACCCTGGGTCCTGGCACTGATGTGAGGCTGAGGAACAGCCTGGGGGAGGGGAGGAGGGAGGAACACCCGCCTAGAAAGGCGGCTGCTAGGGAGGAGGCCTGGGTGGGCCGTGGGACAGGAGTGGGGCCTGCTGCCCCCAGAACACAGCGCTGGGCGGGAAGTGCCGGCATGTTTTGCTGGGGCTGTGGCAGCACCTGTCCTGGCAGATCCTAGCACAGCACGGCACAACCAAGCCTGGCATGGAGCACGCTCACGCCAGGCAGGCCTCAGGGAACAGAGCAGGCATGTCCCTCTGCAGCTGGCCAGGCAGACGCAGGCTACAGAGTGACTCTGGCCGAAGCCCCACCAGCTTAGGGACCTGGAACAGGCCCACTGTGCTCAGGTTGGTCTGTGTTGGTAAAGGGCACGGACTGAGGCTTCTCATGTTACCACGGGATCTGCATGCTCTCAAAACAAGACCCAAGACCCCCAGGTACTCTGAGCAAACATCCCCAGGTCACTACTACATGGTAGAACCCTACCAACCCCCCAGCTAAGTTTAAGGCTTATCTTCAACTATTTCATAAAACTGTGATTTTGGTTTTTATTTTTTGAGACTACAGCCTGTCTTGGGTTGAGAAGGCCAAGGAAGAGAAGAGAGAGGATCCTAGTAAAATGGAAATGAAGGAAACTGAGGTTGGGAACAGTGGGAGTCAGTTCTCTTTTTATTTTAAAACATGCCTTGACTTCTGATTCCTTTAGAATTCTAAAACATTAGAGAATCTATTCGTAAGTATTTTTTGGTTCATGGGTTGCCAGTCAACCATTGACCCACACTGGCTGGGCCACAATCACTTTTATTATCGGTTTCTTAAGGTAATTGTCTATCAAATTCTATGCTGTTAAATGCCCCTATTTGTCTGATTTCTGTACATTTGCATTTTTGCTATTAATAAAACTAAATAGTAATAGTAATCAGACATATATATAAATACACACCATTGAAAATCTGAAATAAAATTACTTCAATTTAGTAAAAGCTATTAAATTCATAAAAATGACCTCCCAACCTGTACATTTATATTAAGTGTATATTTAATTTTTAAGTCTACATTTTTCTTAATAAACCTTTATTGTTCCTATTATTACAAAAGTTCCTTTTTTTTTTTTTTAAGTCTACGTTTTTATAAGCTATATATATATATTTTTTTTTAAAAAGCACGGAAGCAGCATTACCTGAGAGAAGTAACAGCCGTACAAAGGGAGCCACTTGAGGCCGTCTTTTAACACGTAGCGCACGTGCCCCAGGGCGCCCTGCCGGATGGCCAGGATGTCCGCCACGATCCAGTCCACTGCGGAGACAGGCCATGAGTGCGCCAGCCACGGGACAGAAACCGCCCCCCTCTCCACCAGCCTCCCCCTCCACACACACAGCCGGAGCGCCCCATACCACATTCTCTAAGGGATTTGTATAAAAAATGTTAGATTTGAGCCAAAACCGGTTTGGCTCAGTGGTAGAGCGTCGCATTGCGGACTGAAAGGTCCCAGGTACGAATCGGGTCAAGGCATGTACCTTGGTTGCGGCTAGGGTTAGTTTTTTGGTTTTGTTCTTTTATTTTATTGATTTTTTTTACAGAGTGGAGAGTGACAGAGAGCTAGAAAGATCGATAAGAGAGAAACAACGACCAGCTGCCTCCTGCACATCCCCAACCGGGGATATACCCGCAACCAAGGTACATGCCCTTGACGGAATCGAACCTGGGACCTTTCAGTCCTCAGGCTGATGCTCTATCCACTGAGCCAAACCGGTTTCAGTTAGGGTTAGAGTTTTTGTTTTGTTTTGCATTTCTTGAAAGGCTTTTATTTCATGAACAAAATGCAAAGGTTATAAACCACCAAAGCAATCCAAAAGCAGGGATAAAGTAAGCTTCTCTAATTCTGAGCCTAGAAATCCTGACAAAATGATAAGCAAATACACGGTTCAGTGTAACTGCCCAGTGCTACTGGGAACTCTGTATATGTTAATGCGGCCAACAAAGGCAGGGAAGCCACACCAGTGAGCTGCAGGCAAACACTGGGTTACAGGAGCATCCAAACCAAGGACCTTAGCAGCGTGCAGCTGTGCCTGCAGCTGTGCCAAACCCAAGACACACCCAGGCTGCTAACAGCTCTTACTAACAGACATGGTATCACTAAAGGGTGACAGCAAAAGTAAGAGGCATGAGTGAGTTTATACTAATAATAACTTGCAAGAAGAAAGAAACTGTTAGCTGATCTTTCACAGAAATCCTGAGCAAGGACTCGCCTGGGGCAGGGACGAGGGACAAACAGTGGGCAAAGGTGGGAAATGGATTGAGAGGAAAGGAAATGACAGAAGAGGGCAAGTGTGAAGGTCAAGACCCCCAGGGCTGGACTTGAAAGTACTGGCTACAAAGCACCCTGTCTCCTGAGACTGAAAACGGATCAGCAAACCCAAGGGGACTGCTGGCAGGCACGAACGGGCTTGGAAAGATCTGGTGAGCTCGGCGAGAAGATTCAGGTCCCGGGAGAGTGCCCGAGGAAGCAAACGAAGGGGAACGTTTTAAAAAACACAAAGCAAAAGGCTATAGGAAATACAAGCGAGTCAGTCAAGGAGTTACCAAGAAGTTCTAGCCAAAGGGCCTTCCCCAGTTACAGGTGACCTGTCCACTGTGCATGCCACAGGCCACGGCCCCTCCACAGAGCAGCCAGGTAGCACTCAGCCAGCTGGGACACTGAAGATGTCTTTTTGGAAAACAATTGTATTAATTATTATAAATCTCTCTCAGGAAGGGAGTGGGAGAGAGTCAGAAACATCAACAATGAGAGAGAATCATTGATTGGCTGCCTCCTGCACACCCTCTTTGGAGATCTAGCCCACAACCTGGGCATGAGCCCTGACTGGAATCCAACCAGGGACCCTACAGTTCACAGGCTGACGCTCTACCACTGAGCCAAGCTGCTAGGGCTATAAATCTTTTTAATCTTTCTTTAACACTTACAAATACCTCTTCCACAGTGAGTGAAGAATCACTTTACGTGTGTAAGTCTGATTATAGTTCCCTGTAAGTGTGACTATGCCAAGGCTTTTCCCGCACTGACCCCGCTCTGCGTCCATGGAACACCTCCACTGCACTCTCCAGCGTCACTCCCCACAGGCATATCCCGTCCCTTCCTCTCATCGCACCCAGGAGGCAGTCACTGACACATACTTTGATCCTGACCGTGTCTCGGGAACAAACACCACGCATGTTCTCGCTGTGCCTGATGGGCAGCACAGAGTGAGCCGTGAGGACTGTGAGAGTGTAGCCTGGAGCACATTAGGGTGCAGGCCAAAGACAGGACTTGGCATCTCTTCCTGCAACAACTAATCCCAAAGTCTGGGGAAGTCGTCAAGCGCCTTTCAATACTGAAACCTGCGTGGTTATACTATGGTCCAAGATGCATCTTCCAAACACTTTTGAGAGAAAGTGTACAATTTTAAACTTAGGTAATGTTTGCAAATAACTGTTCTGGGTTATGCGCTTCATCTTTTGAAAATTGTAGTGGAAAAATTTAAGAACTAATTTTAGTCACAAGACAACAGCTTCATGCCATCCATTTTTTATTTTTTAATCCTCATCAGGGGTATGTTTTTATTGGTTTTTAGAGAGCGAGAAAGGGAGAGCAAAACGCAGATTTGGGAGAAGCCAGGATCAAACCTGCACCTTGGGTGTGTGCACTGACCGGGAATCGAACTCACGACTCCTTGGTACACAGGATGTTCCAATTAACTGAGCCACATTGACCAGGGCTGTGCCATCAATTCTGCTCCTCAAATTCCTTTTTCACTATGTTTGTTATTCTCCACGAGGGCCAGGCAGGAGGCACTAGACATCGAGTTATAAGGTAACACATCGCCTCTACAGTCATGCACTTGGAGCTCTGACGTCATGTAATTGAGGCGTCAGAAATGTGGCCACACGCAAATTCTTCCATGTGAGCCAGTCAAAGCTGCACCACTGTTTCCCTGAACCCGGGCCAGTGAGGAGAGGCTGCAGGGAAAGCAAGGGCTCCTGGCTATAGCTGGTGTGGCTCAGATGGTAGGGTGTTGTCCCGCACACCAAAAGGAGGCTGGACTGATTCCCCGTCTGGGCACCAGTGTTTCTCTCTCTTCCTCACTCTAAAAATCAACAAAAAATATATATGTCTGTTAAAAAAAAAAAAAAGCAGGGTTTCCTCATGTACATTCTGATATAGCAACCGTTCCTAATTCACATGGGAGCTGCAGAGTCCAGGATGCATAACCTGACTTGACCCAACACTGCGCTCATGGTCAGCACCATCACCACCACCACCACCACCACAATTATCATCATCCCCATCCCCATCATCACCATCGGCAGAAGCGTCACCATCACCATCACCATAACCACCATCATCATTGCCATCATAACCATAATTATCATTACCATCCCCATCATCACCATCACCACCACTGACATCACCATCATCATCACCACCATCACCATTGCTATCATCACTATCAGCATCAGCATCACCACTAGCTCAATCTGAGGGAATCTGAGCATCATGTCTGCCCTAGACCCCACAATTTGTTCTATTTGGTTCGAGGAGCTCTGGTAGCATCAACATCAGGCCAGGAAGAGAGACTGTTAATAGTAAAAGCCCACTTTTGTTGGGAGAAATAGTCAAAATAAGGACAGCAAGGTGACTTTCTAGGCCAGAGTTAGAAGCAGACCACAGTACTGGGCGCTTAAATCAAATGTAATGAAATCAAATAATTCAGTCAGTCATGTTGATAACGTTCACAAAATAAACAGAGGCTTTAAAACTCCTGTTGCCAGGCGGGCATGGCTCTGTGGCTGAGTATCAACCTATGAACCAGGAGGTCATGGTTCAATTCTTGGTCAGAGCACATGCCCAAGTTGTGGGCTCCATCCTGTGTGAGGGGTTCAGGAGGCAGCCAATCCATGACTCTCTCTCCTCATTGAATGCGTCTATCTCTCTCTCCCTCTCTCTTCCTCTCTGACATCAATAAAAACATGTATTTAAAAAAAAAAAAAAAACACAAAATCTCCTGTTAACACTTGGTAGTGTCAACTCATCCTATTAATATAAAACAGAGTGTAATCATTAATAAGCTAAGTTGAGGCCAATACATTTCAACTTCTTTCACTCTCTCTGCAGTGGGCAGGGGGAGGTGAGGGCAGACGAGTACACAGGCCTTCCTGTTGAGGCATCGTCAGTGTCAGCTTGCTTTTCACCCTCAGCTCCCGAGCACTGCATTTTTAGAGAAAGATGAAATTTAGGAAGTGTACCTCAAAAGCAGTCACAGGTTTGAAGAAGAAGTGAAGAGGGCTGTTTTTGAACGGAGCTATTTGGAGGACTAAGGGCTGTAGCCGTGTGCATGTGTTGCTTTTGGTGCTGCACACAGTTTCTAAGAAGTCATCCCTGGGGCCACTTGGGGAGGAGGTCATGCAATCTCAGCACTATTTTTTGTAATTCTTGATAATCCACAACGATGGCAGAATTAAAACTTAAGAGTGCCTAACTGAAAGTCTGCACTGTGCTTCACTGAGACCACGTCCTCGGAGGCCTCTGTCGGAGGAAAAAGCTGTGGGTAAACCCGCACTCGAGAGGCAGAAGGAACGGCGCACGGTAGACATGTACGTCGCCCTAAGGACACGGCCCTTTCTGCAGCTCAACCATCAAAATATAAGCGCACACTCACCGCGACACACCAGCCCTTCCAGACACATTACCTACAGAGGAAGAAGGCACAGACACGCAGAGTGCTGTTCCAAGATGTGGGAGAGGAAACAGCTTATTTATACTCATCGCAGGGAAGAGGCAAAGACGAGGGGAAATCACAAATACAAGGACACATAATGTCTGCATTACAAACTCAGGTTTTAACAATAACAAAAAAATTTCATTTAAATATACAACATTGCTCTGAATGCCCATGTATTTTCTGTAGAAAAACTTAAGATTCACACAAATGAAATACAAACCTGTGCATTGATGATTTGCTAAATATATTATATTTTCTTTGTGTTTTGGCAAATCTCCATATAGGAATATCTACAAGATAAAACAAAAAAACACACACATTACTTTGATATTTTAAAGCATGTACTTATGTAACATACAAAATAGGACAATCATTTCTAATCACGATGCACACAAACCAAATTTCTCCTCCGAGTCTCAGAGGGCATAAATGGCCTGTGTTTCAAGAGTACGCCAGGTTAATGGTCATAAAGTGAAAGAAACACAATGGTTTCTTCTGAGCAAAACACAGCAAGCATGTATCGGCTGGACATGCACTGGCACGGCTCACGAGGACGTTCCTTAGAGAAGGCAGGTGCGTGCAGTGCGTGGAAGGAGACATGCACCCACTGTGGAAGCGCAGTGCGCACTGGTTTAAGGGCGGTGCACAGAGAACAGCAGTACCCGGGACATGCAATTTTCAGATGAGATGAAGGTACACGTTCAGAAGATGAGGCCTTCGACACCTCTGCGTGTCAGACCTATTGGTTCCCACCTCCTTCCTGGGAGGCCCAGGCACGTCCCAATGTTCACAGCAGTGAAACGCGCAGGGCTGCCTGGGGGTGGAGAAAAGGTCTCCTCCCCGCACTGCACCAGTCACAGGCACAGCTCCCAGGCACAACACTCCTCTGAAACTTGATTCCTTTTCCACAGGCACCTGCCTCGGGGTGGGCAGAGTGAGGAGGAAGTAGCATGAGGCAAACTGTGGGGTGGCCATCAGGGCAACTGTCCCTCATACCCTGGCTGGCAGGAGCACGGAAAGAGCCTGCTCTGCAGCTGGGAGCTGCCTGGTGCAGGTGGTCAGGAGGTCAGCACTGTCAGGCCTGCTGGGCGCCCTGAGCAGCACGGCCTGCACCAGGGTCAGGGGGAAGCGTCTGCCAGAACGGGACAAGGGGGAGGGGGGGACTGCTGTGCCTGGCTGTGTGAGACGACCACTTTTATTGAACACAAAATGCTCACTCAGAACCGCTCGTGGAACAACTCAGAATGCAGAGCACAGGTGAGAACCACCCACTGGCCCACAGACTGCCTGATGCTCTCGCGCAGGGGAATCACTTTTCATTCCAGAATGGAGCCGCAGCTCCAGAGGCTGCCACACCGGAAGGTCAAGAAGTCACAGGGCCTGGCCTCCACGTGGTCAGTGCTGGTGCAGCCGGCTGGTGGGCCTGGAGGCTTGTCTGCCAGTGGCTCCCCCTGAAACTTGGCCATCCCTCACTAGGAGCTTGAGCAAGGGCCCACCCTCCACACCGCTCCTGCCCGGGAACGCACACACTGCCAGGGCACTCACAGGCATGGTGGGACAGATGAACCCCACTGCCTGGAACAGGCCTGGAACATGGAAACCACCCAGACAATGCGACGGCTCTTTTTAAATTCAAAACTGGGGTAAGTGATTAATGAATAAGAACCATAGCTCTCTAGTATACTTTCCTGGAAAAGGTCTCTGATGCAGCCACAAGGAATTTCAGTTTGAATAAGATTGCATATGTAATGTATTCTCCATGCTTATTTATAACTAGAGGCCCAGTGCGTGAAATTTGTGCATGGGGGAGGGGGGAGGGGGGATGTGTCCCTCAGCTCAGCCTGCACCCTCTTCAATCTGGGACCCCACAAAAAATGTCCTGGGATCAGGCATAAACGGGCAGTCGGACATTCTTCTTACAACGCAGGACTGCTGGCTTCCAACCGCTCGCCTGCCTGCCTGATTGCCCCTAACTGTTTTTCCCTGATGGACGCCTAACTTCTCCCCTGCTGGCCCGATTGCCTCTAATTGCCCTCCCCTGCCAGCCTGGTCGCCCCTAACTGTCCTCCCCTGCAGGCCTGGTCCTCCCCACAAATGTCCTCCCTTACAGGCTTGGTCCCTCCCAACCGCCCTCCCCTGCAGGCCTGGTCCCTCCCAACTGCCGTCTCCTGCTGGCCTTATTACTCACAACTGCCTTCCCCTGCCGGCCATCTTGTGTCCATATGGGGACGGCCATCATGTGTGGTGGAGTGATGGTCAATTTGCATATTACTCTTTTACTAGATATAATAGGATCATTTGAAATTTTTTAACGTGCTTGATACCAATGAAATAGATCACTAGTTACCCAATAAAAGTCTCCTATTGTAATGCACCCAAAATCTACAATCTTTTTCTGTCCAGTTTGAAACATCCCACTGATGAGGAAAGTGATGATCCCTTTACAACTAGATGCAAACATGGCTACTGGTCCAATACCATGTGCAAAAGCAATCACCACACAGCCCCTAGGGGACCTCCTAGCTCAGAGGTCTGACCAAGCGCCACCTCTGTCCTGGGTATTGCTTTCTTTATGGCCTTTTCCTGGGCACCCACATGGGCCGTCAGGGAGCTGGCAGGCGTCCCACACCCTCTCAGCGAGTCCCAGACCATGAGACATGAGTACTCGGCTCAGGGAGCGGGGCCCAGGAGCTGAGAAGCTGACCTACCTGCTCAAGCTGACACGCAGTGGGGCAGGGAACTGGGGATCACACAGGTTTCTCACCCAGGGATCCCAAACTCCTTCAAATGTTACAAACTATCCTCTGCAAAAACTCCAGATAAAAAATGTCAATGAGCAGGTTTCACATGTATTAGAAGCTTACATGATTATTTTTATTTGGACTACTCACCAAGAGATAAGAACTGATGAGATAAAAATTAAAAACTTACATAAAAACAGCTTGTACAGAAATACAGAGGAGAACAGGAGCAGAGGGGGCCTGAGAGCACATGAGCCGGCACCCCAGGTACCAGCTGCCTGATGGTGGGCCTGCCTGCCGCCACAGCAACCCCTCCCAGGTGAGCACGCCATCAGCTGCCCTCCTGAACTGCCCCGCTCGGCGTCCCTCTCTTTACTTAGTACTTATCTCACCAGACACTTTTGCTCTTAAACTGACTTCCTTCCATCTGTGTTGCTGAAGTGTGTGGTTTGAGGACAAGACTATTTTGTCAAACAGAAATGCTCGTGTCTAGCCTGTGTGAGCACTCAGCATGGTCTCTTTCCCAGTATCATTCATCATTTCTTTATGCCTGGATCCCACCCGGAGGAGAGGCAAGCTGCCTTCCAAATAGCACTCGCACACACCCACAGCCCGAAACTTCTAGCCACGCTCGCTTCCTTGGTGTTCACAGCGAGTTCCCAAAACCATAGCAAGTGCAGCCTCCTGGCACGCAAACAAGGGTTCTCTGTCCCAGAACCTCCCTTCACGAGGCTGCTGACCTGATTCTGAGGGCGGAGTCCGTCTCCCCTCCTGACCTAGTAAAGAATGCGCTCAGACTCACCGCACCTGTAGACCCGCTAGACCAAGGCCAGTCAGACCCCATTCTGCCAGGGCAGGCACTGCCTCTCCACCAGCAAGGCCAGAATCCCGCAGGCTGTGCGGCCTTGGCTACAAAGAACATCAAATTAAGCGGTTCTCCATTCACCGCCACCGCCACGAGCTTACCATCTTGTAGAAGGGAAACGGGTAGTAAGATGTGTGAGTGCCAACAGTACACATGCTAACGTTACGTGTAAGTGACCCTGACACTGAGATGGGGTGGGACCAGGACAGATAAGGAAAGACCGGTGTCGAGTTGTAGAGAGAGACAGCAGCCCAAGCCGCCTGTTGCAGAGTGGAACCAACGCGGGGAAAGCCGGCCCGGGCAGACCTGAGGAGGCTGCGTGCTCACGCAGGTGCCAGTCTCTCCCGGGCACACCTGCACGTCCTCCCATGGAAGGGAGTCCATGCGGCTCTTCACTACGGCTGCAGCCGCTCGAATGGCCCACGCAGGGTCTCCGTCTGTCACAGAGCGAATAAGCACTCCCTCCACCCAATTTCCTATTTCACTGTCCACCTTCCTCCACGTGTAAGTGCAACCCATGTAACCACACCACCTCGCAGAATCCTCAGAAAACTGGGCCCGAAGCTGGACTGCCTCGGACTGTATCCTGGCTTGACCACTAAATTGTGAACTGCTTGTGCCTCGATTCTCACATCTGTGACATGTGAAGAACGGTGCTGCCTTGCAGAGTAATGTGACCTTCATAACGGCAGTGCACAGCGTGGTCGCACTCGGAAGCTGACTCTACTCGCCATCCTCTCCTTCTCCCTCCCCATCCAATCACAGCACCTGCTGCTGCCTCTCACAGACCCGGGATGCCCCACCCTCTCCGCGCATCTGCCCTCCCCAACTCGAAGCCCAGGACAACCACACACCTTCCCAACCGGTTCCTTCTCAGGCTCCAGGCCAAAAGCACTGGCTTCTGGAAGCTCCCAGGCCCCACCTCCCCCTGTGGGCTTACAGCCCTTTTCCTGCCACGTCCCGGCCCCTTACACTGAGCTCCGTAAGGGCAGGGCCTTCCACACTAGTCGCCCCTGCATCAGGTGCCCATCCAGTATCGAAGGAATGAATGAAAGGAGAATGGGCTCTAGGGGTCGTTAGTGAGAAGTTACTACTTAGTTTTGAATGTCTATTAATATCAACCTCTGCTTAAGAAATCATAGTAATGGGGACTCTTTCCCCTTCCCCATGCGGGAGTCTGTCTTTGTTCGTCAATAGATCTCCATCCTTGCTATAAAAAAAAAAAAAAAAGAAACCATAGTAATAATTATGAAATATTAAAGGTAAAATTAACTTCTAATTCCATTTAAGAAGAGTCACCTCACCGAGCTCCAATGGCTCGGTGGTGGAGTGTGAACCTGTGAACCAGAAGGTCACGGTTGGATTCCCATCAGGGCACAGGCCCGGGTTGCAGATGCCATCCCCAGTGTGGGGTTTGCAGGAGGCAGCTGATCAATGATTCTCTCTCATCATTGATGTTCCTCTCTCTCTCTCTCTCTCTCTCCCCCTCTCCCTTCCTCTCTGAAATCAATGAAAACATATTTTTTAAAGAAAACTCAACTCTCAGTGTATTCAGCTCCACAAAAGTACACAAATTTACGTGAGAAGCAGAATATGTACACAGAATCCCTACCACTATTTTATACTCAAAGTAGATCAGTAGAAAAACCAATTTATTTACATTAAATTTTACTGTTATAATGTATTGTGTTAGCATTTGGGGAAGAGAGAATTAGCAAACAAAGCCATTAGAATAAAACACATGTTAAAGTAAAGTCAAAGGATTCCAGCAGGGGATTTGGGAAGATCATTCTGGATTATCGGGGGGGGGGGGGGGGGGGGGGGGTGTCGGCCTCATGACAAGTGTCCTTACAAAGAAGCAGAGGAGAGCAGAGGCAGAGAGAGGAGGCGGCCACATGACCACGAGGCAGAGACGGGAATGCCAGCAGCACCAGGAGCTGGAAAAGCCAGGACACTCTCTGGAGCCTCCGGAGTGAGGCCCACACGCCTCGATTTCGACACCTGGCTTCCAGAACTGCGAGAAGTTTCTACTGTTTTAAGCCAGTACATTGGAGGTGCTTTCTCATGGCAATCACAGGAACTCAACACAATTACCCACTTAAGTCAGTGCTCCCTCAAATAGTAAAAAGGTGTATTCTAATTGCCAGTGGATCTCAAATCAAGAGATACAGCCCTAGCTGGCTTGGCTCAGTGGATAAAGCATTAGCCTGTGGACTGAGGGGTCCCAGATTCAATTCAGGCCAAGGGCACATGCCTGGTTTGTGGGTTCAATCCCCAGCAGGGGGCGTGCAAGAGGCAGCGGATCAATGATTCTCTCTCATCATTGATGTCTGTCTCTCTTCCTCCCTTCCTCTATGAAATTAATAAAAAGAAATATGTACTTTTTTTAAAAAGATACATACAACTTTTAAAATCCCAAAGCAATAAATGATAAAGAAGGTACCCAGTTGAGTTCAATTTTAACGAGTTCCTAGAAGAACCTAAAAAGATAAATCAGAAACAGCAATTTTAGCAATTGTGATTGGAATGTTTTCCTGTCAAAGACGTGTGCATGTGAAAATACAGTAGTGAAGTTAGGAAGGAACAGAACGTCCATCTAAAGTCCCGTGGAACTACCCAGTTCCACTGGGAGAAGGTTCACCTGCCATGCACACATCACGAATTACACGGACCCTTGTTGTTAGCTTAAAGAATTCCCACGCTGCCTGGCTGGAGTGGCTCAGTGGTTGAGTGTCAACCATGAACCAAAGGTCACCCGTTTACTCCCCAGTCAGGGCACATGCCTGCTTGCACACCCAGTGTGGGATGTGCAGGAGGCAGCAGATAGATGTTTCTATCTTTCTATCCTTCTCATTTCCTTTCTCTAAAATAATCAATGAAAACATATTTTAAAAAACAACCAAACCGCAAATTCCATGCATAAAAAAATACTGTCACAACTATTACAAAACATTTATTTTTTTATACTCATAATTTAAAAACATTAAAACGCTATTTTTAAAGAATCTAATTTGAAAATACTTTTATAATGTATATAATTTAATGGTGAACTTCCTTTCATTCAAAAACTTAAAAGAGAGTTAACATCATTTTATACAGAACAAACAAGAGGATCATCACTGGCCTTGCAATGAAAGCTGATGAACAATTCAAGCAAAAGAAAAAAAAATCCCTTAGCAAAACAAGCTAAAATTTTAAAAAAGATTTTTAGAGACAAAGGAAGAGAGAAAACATCAATGTGAGAGGGAAACACTGCTCAGCTGCCTCCTGCACACGCCCCCACTGGGTGATGAGCCTGCAATCTGGGCATGTGCCCTGACCAGGAATCCAACAGGCAACCTTTCAGTGCATGGGACAACCTCCAGCCAACTGAGCCACACGGGCCACAGCGCAAACTAAAATTTTAATAGAAACTTTGCAATGACAAAGTCACTGAGGAAAACTATTAGGTAAAAAATAAGACGACAGAATGGCCATTCTCATCTATCCTTTTCCTTTGGGTTTATATTTTTAAAGAGCTATTTTGAATCTCTCTATTGATTTAATCTTAAAAGAAAACCATTAGAAATGTTGGAAGATAGCCTTTTTTATCCAGGAACCCCAGATTCCAGGAAAAAAGACCCATCTCCCCTAAACATATCATGCTCTCTGTTACTAAACCAACAGACAATTCCTTGCCAAAAAATAATGCACGGACAAGAAAACTCGCAGGCCTATATTTTCATTAAATGTCCATCACCTGCATCTCATGGCCAGTGGGCAGTGAGTTCTAGGATCCCTACAAAACTTCATCAAGGGACCCACGTTTATAGAAAGGATGTCTGGCCGAAACCGGTTTGGCTCAGTGGTAGAGCGTCGGTCTGCGGACTGAAGGGTCCCGGGTTCGATTCCGGTCAAGGACATGTACCTTGGTTGCGGGTACCCCCCCCCCCAATAGGGGGTGTGCAAGAGGCAGCTGGTCGATGTTTTCCTCTCATCCACGTTTCAAGCTCTCTCTCCCCCTTCCTCTCTGTAAAAAAATCAATAAATATATTTTTAAAAAATTAAAAAATAAAATAAAAGGATGGCCGAAGTATAATTCAAATGTGAATTTTCAAAGAAACCATGTGCTAAGAATTCCAGAATAAACTGGAGGTCTTTACTAAACAGAGCATGTGGTAAAATAATCTCAGAATCACTGTGGAATTTTACCATTGCTTTTTATTTTTTTCAAGGCCACCAAAAATTTTGCTTGCCCCCCCCCCCAAAAAATGGGAGAGATTTCAATTGCTTTTTAAAAATAAACTTGCTAAACAAAAAGTACTTCAGTGTATATTGTACATTATATTGCATAGAACATATTTCATTCTTTGAACAAAAATAAAATAACCAGGTACAGGCAGAATTATTTTTCTAAAAGGTACTTGACTTTGTCATATGCTCTGAGTCCAGGCCAGCTGTCACCTGATGTGAAATTAAATTCTTAAAAAGCACACATTCAGGTAAATGTGAAGCGCATTGGGGCGCTTCAGTGAACCTTTTACATGAGCCCGCTTTAAAAGTCAACTAGTTTTCTGGAAGAGTGATCTTTCTCTCCTAGCAAACCAAAATGCTGGTTTAAATGGAGACCCTGACTTCTCCTAATGCCCTTCCCCCCAAAAAAACCACCACCTACAATTGGGGCAAACTCAAGTCCTCAGGGAATCAACAGCCCTTCAGTCTCAACAGTAGCTGGGTGACTGACACTGAGGCTCTCAATGGCAAAAAGACAAAACCATCCCTTCCCTCCCCTCCCCTCCCCTCCCCTCCATGCCAAACCAAGAAAAGGCGGGGAAAGGGGAGTAACTGAATGTAAGTAATAACCAAGAATCAAACTCTTTTTGCAAATCGGGAGATAAAATAAAAACTCACAATTGCTACCTTTGTATGAGACTTCGAAGAACTAAATAAAGAGGCCCTTCTACTTTTGTTTGTAGAACAAATGTATCTACAAGCCCCATCTCTACAGAGAAAGAAACAAACGGAAAGAAAGTAATCAGACAGAAGGGAGAGCAGCCCCGCACTGAAGCGGACGGCGCGGGCAGCTCCGGGCGGGGAGGCGCGCTGCAGGGCCCGGGTCCTGTCCCGCCCGCGGCACAGAGGGGCCTTCTAGCCACCAGGCTCCAGGCTTACACAGCAGCCCTCTCACCCAACGCCAACCCAGCCTGCCGCCCGGCCTCCACGGCCTCCCGCACCCCTTCGCGATGCTCCGCGAGGGAGGAAGGAACCTGAAGGGAGGAGGGGAGGCGGCGGCGGGTCCCGGCTGCGGCTTCCTGGTGACCTCGGGGCCTCCCCGCCAAACCCCACAGTGAGCCCCCGGGCCTGCCCGCCGCGGAGGGGGGCCCGCACCCGTGTTCCGGACCGAGCTGCGGGCGGGAGTGAGGCTCCCGCAGGCCCGGGGGCGGGGGGCGGCAGGTGCAGCAGGCCCAGGGGCAGGGGCGGGAGGCAGCAGGTCCGGGGGCGGAGGAGGCAGGCGCGGGGGCGGGGGGCAGCAGGCCCGGGGGCGGGGGGCAGCAGGCCTGGGGGCGGGGGCGGCAGGGGCAGCGGGCCCGGGGGCGGGGGGCAGCAGGCCCGGGGGCGGGGGGGCCCTCTCACCCACCTGCACGCCGGTGTAGTTCTCGAAGAAGAAGAGCACCATGCTCTGGTAGACGCAGTAGAGCCGGTCGTCCACCGCCTGGTAGAAGCGGGCGGGCAGGCAGGCGGACAGCAGGCGCCAGGCGCCCCAGGCCAGCAGGTAGGTGGGCGCCGAGCCCAGCATCACGGCGGCCGGCAGCACGGAGCGCAGCGAGTACATGTGCAGCACCAGCGACAGCAGCATCGCGGCGGCGGCCGAGGGCCCTCTGCGCCGCGGCCCCGCCTGCCCGGCCGCCCGCCCGGCCGCCCCGCGGCCTCCGCCCGCGGCCAATCACCGCGCAGCCCCGGGCCGCCCGCCGCCCCGGAGATGCCCAGCCGCTCCGCTCGGGCCTCCGCCCCCAGCCGCATGGGCCGCGCCGCCGCCGCCGGAGGGCGGGCGGGCGGGCGGGCGGGAGGGCGGGTGCGAGGCAGGCGGACGCGGGCCCTGCGGGCTGGGAGCTCAGGCTCGCGCTCCCCCCCGTGACCCTATCCCGTCATCCTGCGCCCTGCCGGGGGCGGGACTTCGTGGCTACAACAAGAATCCTGATTGGCTGCCCGTCTCCACAGTCCCGTCGGAGCGGGAGTCCTTGGCAACAACACGACTCCCGATTGGTCGAGGCGGCTGACGGTTGAAGTGCACCTGCCCGCGGGCTCCGGCCTCTGCGCATGCTCCGGAGCCCCGCCGGGCCGAGGGCGGCAGGTGGCGGAGGGCGGGCAGCGCGGGCGGAGGCGGGGCCGGCCGGACCGTGGCGGCGGGTCCGCTGGAGGGGACGCCCACCTCCGGCCCGCACGCCCCGCGGGCCCGGCGATGCGCCCGCACCCAGCCGCGTCCTGATGGGACGGACCGGTGCGCACCCACCTGGATGCGCGGCAGACGCCGCCCGGGCGGGGAGGATCGCGCCCTGGGATCCCGCGTCCCCCGCCCCGGGGGGCTCAGAGCCGCCTTCCTCCTCACGCAGCCATGAGGCCGCGGCGGCCGAGCAGGCGGCAGCCCTTCACATGCCGCCCCTCGCCGTCACCGGACCGGCCCGTCCGCCTCGCCACTCCCCCCGGGCCGGCCTCGGACTCGTCCTGATGTTTCACGAGGAGCGGCGTCGGGTGTGTGTGTTGGGGGGAGGGGGTGAGGGGGGGTCCCTAACGGGCTTGACAGCCTCCGGGACCGGCCCGGACCGGCGGGCGGGCCGCGGCCTGGATGCGAGGGCGGTCCGGGGCGGCTGGGGGCTCGGGGCGTGACCGGCAGCCTGTCCAGGATGCGCCCTCAGAAGCCAGGCCCGGGGAGAAGGCGGAGTTCTCGGGAAGCCGGTGGTTTGTGGGGGGCGTTCTGGGAGGCGCTCAGGGGCCGCTGGTGTGCGTCACCGGCCCGCGGTGGCACAGGCGGTAGATGGTGACCCGGGCCCACCAGGTGCCTGAGGCCTCAGGGAGCCGGGTCTGCACAGCCATGTCCCTGAGGGAGGCGCCCGCACCGAGAGGTCCTGGCTTCCAGAAGGTCACCCGACGACCCGCTTCGGCGGACAGCCCCGGTTTTAACAGTTTGTCCTGCGTTAAAACGCCGCGGGACGCCGGGCAAGTTGCTAAAAAGCAGGACGTCTGGTCACCTTAGGGTTCGATGCCCAGTCAGAGGCATGTGCGGGGGCAGCCAGTGTGTGACTCACATCATGTTCCCCCCCCGCCCCCCCTCTGAAAAGCGACCCGCAGTGAGGAGTCAGGAAAAGGGAAGCAGCAGCAGCCGCCAGCCTTCTGCGGGGCGGCAGGAAAGTGGGCTCCTGGGCTCCTGCTGGCCCGGAGTTCCGGGCATTAGAGGGAGGGGCTCATGGCACAGTGGGCCTCCTGGTAACCGCATCGGCTCTGGGGCAGCGACAGCTCCTCAGCTGACATTTGAGAGTGGAGTGAGCCCAGCTGGCCATAGAGGAGAGAGGGAAGGGGGAGGGAGTCAGGTGAGGACAGTGGCAGCGTGTACCCGAAGGCTGTGTGTACCCGGGGGAGGCGTGTACCTGAAGGCAGTGTGTACCCAGGGGAGGTGTGTACCCGAAGGCAGTGTGTGTACCCGAAGGCAGTGTGTGTACCCGGGGGAGGCGTGTACCCGAAGGCAGTGTGTACCCAGGGGAGGTGTGTACCCAAAGGCAGTGTGTGTACCCAAAGGCATTGTGTACACCCAAAGGCATTGTGTACCTGGGGGAGGTGTGTACCCGGGGGAGGCGTGTACCCGAAGGCAGTGTGTGTACCCGAAGGCAGTGTGTACCCAGGGGAGGCACGTACTTGAAGGTGGCTTGTGCCTGAGGGCAGTGTGTACTTGGAAGGCTCACGTGGGCACTGCAGTGGGCCACACAGCTCTTTTTTTAACCTAGATGCCCCCTAAAAGAATGCCTTGTGCTTCCCACACACATTTTTAAGTTAACATCTGAAATTAAAAAAGGGTATGCTCTGATAAATTGTGCATGACATTTTCAAATAAAGTGGTGACAGATCTTTTAAATGGACCCCTTGGGTTCTAAATACCATGGTGATTTAGTACCCACAATCATCCATTAAAAAATACTCAGGAATTTTACATTGGTTCTTTTTCTTTTTGGAAACATTTTCATTCCATTGAATGTATCTCAATGGAGTATCCTTTTTCCTTCACAGTCTCTTATTAACCAGACTATTTCATCAAGGTTCTCACAGTGGGAATTTCTTCTGGATTGAGCTCTTTCTATTGTTTTTTTTTAAAAAATATATTTTTTTGATTTTGTACAGATAGGAAGGGAGAGAGACAGAGAGTCAGAAACATCGATGAGAGAGTCATCGATCAGCTGCCTCTTGCACCCCCCCCCCCCACTGGGGATGTGCCCGCAACCAAGGTACATGCCCTTCACCGGAATCGAACCCGGGACCCTTCAGTCCCCAAGCCGACGCTCTATCCATTGAGCCAAACTGGTTTCGGCCCGAGCTCGTTCTATTGTTAGCAACATGATTGAATCCATATAGATCACAAAATCTTGTGTGTGATGACTGTAAATAAAAGTTGTTTTTCTTGATATGCCTGTCGTAATAGTGCCTTAATTGAAATTGTCTTGTCTCTTGGTGTTCTCCTGGGTGTCACACCTGTCCTCCTGGGTATCACACCTGTCCTCTGGGTGTCACACCTGTCCTCCGGGAGTCACACCTGTCCTTCCAATGTCACATCTGTCCTCCGGGTACACACTGCCTCCGGGTGTCACACCTGTCCTCTGGGTGTCACACCTGTCCTCCAGGTGTCACACCTGTCCTCTCGGTGTCACACCTGTCCTGGTGTCACACCTGTCCTCTGGGTATCATACCTGTCCTCTGGGCTGTTACACCTGTCCTCCCGGTATCACACCTGTCCTCCCGGTATCACACCTGTCCTCCAGGTGTCACACCTGTCCTCTGGGTGTCACACCTGTCCTCTCAGTATCACACCTGTCCTCTGGGAGTCACACCTGAACTCAGTGCAGTGTGAGGCAGTATGACTTGGGAGGGGCCCGGTGGGAAGGTCCATTGACAAAGGCCACAGGAGCCCAGACCCAGGAGTCTTCCGGGCAGATCACTTCTAGGAAAGTTAAGCATCTGAAAATCGGGTCCCTTAAAACTCCTTGTGGCCACCCCGTTCCTTATTCCCAGAGTCCCCGTGGCGTTCGAAGATTCTGGCAGAGAAAGGAAGGGGGGAGGTGATGGGAGCCGAGTGGAAAGGAAATGGTCAAGAACCAGAGGACAGCTGGGTCTCATGGGACATGCGAACGACTTTGGACATGACCCAAGGTCCTGGGAGCCTCTAGGGGGAGAGCAGATGGGAAGCAGAGGGGGCTGGTGCCCGCGGGGCAGCAGGCAGTCTGAGGAGAGCAGGCAGGTGGCCGGATTCGTCAGCGTAAATGGGTGAGGACAGAGGCAGGGAGCAGCGTCCGGAAGAGGCAGGCAGAGCCACACCTGCTGTCGCTCTCCCGACACCAGGTGGAAACACACGGGTGCTGGTGACACATGCTCCGCTATCCGCTCCTGAAAACCCAGTCTGTTTCCGTTCGCAGATGTCCAGAAACTGCTGCTGCCGGTGTCTCTGAGGGAGGAAGCGGGGTCAGCGGAGGGTCAGCTGCACTTCTGAATTGTTGGAGGTTTTACCAGGAAGCTCTGATGCAGCAGAGGCCGCCCTGCCTGTGTGTCCAGCCACACGGCCCTGCCCGCTGTCCCGAGGTGAAGGCGGAGCAGGTGCAGCCTCTGGGTGGGGAGCAGGACTGACGGACTCAGGAATCCATGTGGACCGAGGACTTCCCCAGGCACTGCTCCCGGTGTGGCCCCCGAGCACAGACCCGGTGAAGGAGGAGGAGGGAGGCCACAGGGCTTCCCACATGCCCGGCTCCCGTGCCCACGGTGAGCGGGGGCAGATCTGTGGGCCTGGAACCCAGGGAGGAGAAGCTGGAGCATTAAGGAGAAGAGCACGCGTTTACCACACGATTGCATCGGAACGTGGCTATTAGTTCAAAATGATTTTTAAAAAAAAATCTAAAAGACTTTAAAAGCTGACATGTCCAGCCCTAGCCTGTTTGGTTCAGTGGACAGAGCGTCGGTCTGCAGACTGAAGGGTCCCAGGTTCGATTCTGGTCAAGGGCATGGACCTTGGTTGCAGGCACATCCTCAGTAGGAGGTGTGCAAGAGGCAGCTGATCGATGTTTCTCTCTCATTGATGTTTCTAGCTCTCTGTCCTTCTCTCATCCTCTCTGTGAAAAAAAAAAAATCAATAAAATATATATTTTTAAAAATTAAAAAAAAAAAAGCTGATATGTCCGGAAAAATGACTACGTGTAGCTGCCACAGCGTATACCTTTCTTAGGCTGTGGAACCACCGGTGTTCTCTAGACTGGCATGGTGAGTAGACATTGATTTTTACCTCTGGTCGTTAGGGTGTGTGAAACAGCCGCATGCCATGACTCACACACACCCTATGGAAGTCGGCGATCTTTTGCAGCTTAAATGTGCTTGTCTCACGGACGGTATGGTGCCCACGCCGATGTGTGCCCCTCACTCCGGCGTGATGGTAGTTCATCCAGGAGGACAAGAGACACATTGAGAGGCTTGGTATCACGTTAACGTGCTGATTTATAGACAAAGTTCAGGTTCAGGCCACGAGGCTGTGCCTAAATTTATAGACAAAGTCTCCCAGCTTCCTCAGGAGGGGGCCTCTCAGTCCATGACTGGTGTCACCAGCGTTCACCC